TTTAATCAACCAATTTCTACACAGATTTTCATTATCATGAATAAAATTTTTATAAACATGTTTGTACACAAGGCTTTGTGTTCATCTTTCAATTTTCCTTAAAATAAATTCCTGAAAGATAATTACTAGGTAAAACGTATAAACTATTTTAAAGTTTTTTACATTTTTTCATTTTCTGTCCAAAAAGATAGTTGGATTTATTCTACAACCAACAGTGTAGAAGGCCAGTTTTCTTTTCCTTCACATTTTTTACTTGTCTTGCTTTAATCTCATTCTATAATATTTCAGTGCATCAAGCACAGTGCATGAAGCACTCAGCTTCAAGCACATTGTTTCTCAAACAAGATTTGACCATTTATTTCACTCTTTAATATGTTGCAGTTGTTTCCTAATACCATTACAAATCAAAACTCCCTGGTTTAACACGGAGTTGAGACTTCTCCAGCTGCCAGCACTCTCATACTCCTAATTTTATCAACTTCTTTTCTAATTGTTTCTCCCAGTGAACTCACACTCACTGCTTTCTAAATTGCTTTTCTTTCCTCCAGTAAGTGCCTCTTGTCTCAAAATTGGTCTTTAAACTCTACCAGAATGATTTCCTGATTATTTTTCTGTGTCTCCTCTCTCATATTAATTTCTCTCCCTAGAGGCTGCTCAGAACTTAACATAGCTCGTATAGTAAACAAGTATATTATTTTATATCAAGATTCATGCCTAATTTTGTATTGCTTTATAAAATGTGTTTTTCCAGTATTTCATGTGTGCTTTCTCTGCATATTGAAATTGCAGGTTCCTTTTTGATAGAGGCTTGTTCTCCCAATAGTGTCAAGTCTAATATGCTTTACTCAGCAGTCAGTCAATAAATTAGAGTTAGCTGGCTCACAGCTTTTCTTTTTAAGATGAATTGTAAAGCCTTAGCAGTTCTTAAAACATACTTTTGCAGCCCCCAATTCTTTAATATATATCAATTATTTCTTAAAGAACATGCCACTATAATAGTAAATAGTTTTTTAGCCTAATGAACAGCATTAGCATTCTACCTACTGTATTCCCAGAATTTAAATTCTTAATGATTCTCCTTTTTTTTTTTAATTTATCCTTCTCACTCACTGAGTTTCTTTTGTAGGGTCTACTTTAACCCTTTACTGTCTTCCAGACTGAAGCTGGCATGAGTAATACAAATGTATGCAAATTCTGTAAGAAGGTGCACTGGGCAACTTTCATGCCCGGCCGCATCAGCTTTTGGCTCATCTTTTTACTTCAGCTGTTGCTGAGACCACCATCATCTGAGGTCTAACCAGAGGGAATCTGTGAACTTTCTTCCACTTTCTGCCCTGAGGCTTTTCTATCACCACCTAGGTTACATTTGGATAAGCATAAACCTGAGCCTGTCGGGGAATGAACACCTCATAAGGTAACCCTTAACTCACATGTGCAGTTCTGAGGTACATTCTGCATGATTCTTCAAAGGGTCCCTAGCAGAATCAAACCTGTTGCCAAATGAAGAAATAAAGGCAAGAATTAGAAGACTGTTTGGTGCTCTTAGGTGTTCATAGAAGTTAGGTTAGGCAACACTAACACAGTATATCATATAGCATTTAAGCCAAACTCTGAAGGAAATAAAGGATTGGCCAAAACCAATAATTTGTCTACTTTCACTCAAAGTTATTGTGAAGATACAGAATGAAAAGGGCATACATTGCTTGGAAAAGCACAAAGTACTGCACACATGCAAGATACTGATAATAGTAATAATAATGTTGTTGTATCAGAATAATTAGGTTATAAGAAAATGCTATTTGGGACTTAAACTTCCAGTAGCATTTATCCTTGATTAAAGAATAATCACATATTTTTATTTTGCTTTCACTTCACTTTTAGAATTAGCAGTTTTTTAAATTTAAATTGTTCTTTTTATTATTTATTACTTGTAGAGTAATTCCAATCTCAGTTATAACATGATTTTGAACATAAGCTCATTCTTGAACATAATTTTAACTGCCATTTGAATACATTTAGAGTATCACCTCAGTAAAGGTGATTTCTTAAAATATCTTGGCAGAATCCAATATTTTGCCTAGAGTTGTTTCTTTCCTTTCCTCTTAAGAATCTTTAGCAATAGAAAGAACTGTACATGTGAAGTTATACTGTTTTAGAATGAAATGCCAAAATAACTCTAATATAGTTAAAGATAAAGGCCCTGTTCAAAGATCTATATCATGGTTGTCATTAGAAACGTAATTTTAATTCTAATTCTTCATTTCAAATAAAATCAGTAGGTACAATTGGAAGGAAATATGTGGTGTGCTTTCAATAATATAGAGTACATCAGTATTTGTCAAATGTGAATTATAGAAATATTTCCTATACCTCATAGGTATTCCAAGGAAAAAATTAACAATAGATGTTATACTCGAATAGCAAGATAGTGCAAGTTTAAAAATAGTTATTCTGCAGTGTGTCTCTTCATTTTCCAGTGTCATAAGAAAATTATTATTAAACTTTATAATTAAATATGTTGTGCAAATGTGCTGAGTCCATTTACATTTCATGGAATAATTTTATTTGTTCTGCACTAGCTGCCTGGCAGAGAAATTGAACAATGTTTGGTGATACTTTAAAGTTGTAATTTCATCAGCAACTGACTTAGACAATCTAAATATAAATCTGGAAATAAAAAATGTTGTGTGCTATCTTTGGCTACTCTAAGGAGTGAAATATAGCTTTTCTCACCACTTCCCAGTAGACTTTTCCTGGGAAGTCAGTTGTCATTGTTCTGGCAAGTGCCTTTTCATCTAAACAGTGGTAACATTAAAAGGAAAACTATGACGTTTACAAAGAAATATATTTTAAAAATAGTTTTTAAAAATTATAATAGTAAGAATATGAAAAAAATACAGAAATGTGGAAAGTAAAAAAGTATCTTCCACAACTAAGAGTATATCCTTCCATATCTTCTCCCATACATATATAACACTAAATATAATGTATACATACATGTATACTTTACATAAAAAGGATATACTATCCCTGATATTCTATAACTTTGCCTTTTAATTTCAACAGTATATCATGGTGTTCTTACATGGTGTTCTATATGTTCTTACAGTGCATATAGTCCTATCTTATTTTTTCCAAAGTCTATAGAGCATACTATTTTATATATTTTTTTTATTTTTATTTTTTTGAGACAGAGTCTCACTTTGTTGCCCAGGCTAGAGTGAGTGCCGTGGCGTCAGCCTAGCTCACAGCAATCTCAAACTCTTGGGGTCAAGTGATCCTCCTGCCTCAGCCTCCTGAGTAGCTGGGACTACAGGCATGCACTACCATGCTCAGCTAATTTTTTCTATATATATTAGTTGGCCAATTAATTTATTTCTATTTATAGTAGAGATGGGGTCTCGCTCTTCCTCAGGCTGATTTCGAACTCCTGACCTCCAGCAATCTGCCCACCTTGGCCTCCCAGAGTGCTAGGATTACAGGCATGAGCCACCGCGCCCAGCCCAAGCATACTATTTTATAAATGAAAAAACCTGAACGTCTGTTGATGAGCATGTATCATATATATGTCTGTGTGTGTGTGTGTGTGTAATTCATAATGATTTTAAATTATATAATTAATAGCTGTACAGGATTTTTAAAAATTGAAAAATTGTACATATCTATGTACAATTTGATGTACATTTGATGATTACATTTGATGTTTTAAATATTCAAGTCAGGGTAGTTACATATCCATCACCTCATACATTTATCATTTTTTTGTGCTAAGAATATTCAAAAATCTCTCTTCTAGCTTTTTTGTAATATAAAATATCTCACTGTTAACCATAGTCATCTCCTGTTCAGTAGAATATCCTAGGATTTTGAAAAATTGAACTATGTAGATGGTCTTTGCCTCATTCTAGGCAAAGATTGCCTCAGAGGCTATCTTTTTTTTTCAGCAGTTTAAAGTTTTTTTTATTCATTATGAATGTAATTTTAAACAATATATGTATAACTTCATTTATTGATTTATCAGCTTTAGAAATTATGGAAGTGAAGAAGGACTGCTGTGCAGGGAGATGCCTAACTTGACATTCTCAAGAGATATGTTTTCAGAATTTCAGAATTCCCTGCTTCATACATGCCATCCTATCACTTAATTTCACCCATAAAGTTCTGTTAACTAGCACTGTGATTCTCAACTGGGAGGGAGCCAACAGCCCACCAGAAGAACATACCAGAATCTTTGAGAAGGTCTTTTTCAAAATGCATGTCTTCCTTCCTAAACCCAAGTGGAATGTGCTTACCTGATTGAAATCACCACATGTAATTTCAGATGTTAGGAATGTGTTGTGTAGATAGTGTAGAAGCAAAACACCAAGATAAACAATTTTGTAAAAACCCAAATTAATATATATCAATGCTAAAACATTTAAGTAGTGAACATTTCTTTTTTTTTTTTTTTTCAGGTTAAGGGGCATCATTGTTTTAGATCTCTTCATCCCATTATTTCATTATTAGCACTAGCAGAGGGCTGTCTTATCTGTTCACTTTACATGAGTTCCTATGTAACCAATAATGAGTGGAGACTAGCAAAACAAAGTAGGGATATGAATGGCATAGCATGGTTGGGCTCACTGCTGAGATGAGTGACTATCTTCTGAATTCTAGAAGAGGGCAAGTCAAATTTGTATCTAGCAAAATTACTATCATGGGGCCTTTAGAGGTCACTGTCATAGTTGAAACTCTGAGCACTAGCTCTGTTAATATCAAACCAAATCCATCATCTTTTATGCCTTTAAACCTGGTAGAAAACTCTTAGAGGTCTGTGATTCTGTCTATTTGAAGATCCACCTGACTAGGTACAGTGGAGTCTAAAAATGACAATAACAAGGACATGCTTGTCTGGAGGGTTGGTTCCACACTGCTTTGAGTTTTCTCTACAGCACCTCAGGGTAAGTGAAAAGGCTGAGATGAGAAGTACTAATGGAGTTCTCTGACTGTTTTATCTGCAGACTGCAGCTGAATATGTAAAGTCTCGACTCCCAGAGGCCCTTAAACACCATCTTCAGGACTACGAGAAAGACAAAGAAAATAGTGTATTGTCTTACCAGACCATCCTTGAACAGCAGATTTTATCAATTGACCGAGAAATGCTAGAAAAATTGACTGTATCTTATGATGAAGCAGGTATGTTTGTCTTTAATACACACACACAATTTTTTTCCTTTTGGAAAAATTTTCATTATAGACCTTGAATAAAGTAGGAACCTTTTCTGAAGTAGAAGGTTAAGGGCAAATTGGATTCAAAGTTATATAACATGGACTAATAGTAAGTTTCTTCTCTGCAGTTTTAGTATCAAAACTTTGTCAAAAGATTCTTAAAAATGGCTCTTAAATATCAAATCTCTTTAAGTTTCTGCTTTTTTTTTTTTTTTCAAATGGAATTTTTCTGTCCTTTTATTAACCATGTACTCTTAAACTGTTACTTCAGTTTTGGATACCAGTCGAAAACCTTTACATCCTATAATCCAAGAACTGTTATTTGATTCAGATTTTTTTTAAATTTCAGCTTCTTTTCTAAAGAGGTACTATTTTTTTCTTCAACTGTTAAACTGAACTTGACTTTCTTTTTCTTAGCAACACAGAGACAACCACACCAGAGACTTCATTTCACTGCTTACCATAACTTCATCTTATCCAGGGAAGCTTATTAATGAATTATGGGCAGACCTCTTCATAATACCATTTTAATCTACTATATGGTCTGTCAGCTAAAACCAAATTTTAATGAAATGAGAGTAGTGTTACTTGGCATTATTAAAAATCTTTAATTAAACTTAAGCAGCAAAAAAATCCTGATTAAAATTGCCATACCTCTCCCCCTACCAAAACAAAACCAAAAACTGGAAGAAAAAGTATAAGAAAATAGGTTTCTGATGGTCAAATTTTGATAGTATTAATATTTATTTTAATGCCAGGAACTTCTGTTTTTATTTCCACAAGAATACTTTTAGCATGCCATCTTATTTTCTCATCATAATCTAAGCATGCTTAATACTGACATTATTAATATTTGGTTTCAAGCTTGAATAACAAACAGAAGAGCAATTAAAAAAATTATACTACATTTGCCTATCCACTAATACAATTTTCTAGTTATTAAGCTTTCCCCATTTACATTCTACCCTCTAACCCCTTCATGTCCCTTTTAAGCAGGATCTACATTTCTAGCCTTGCCCAGAACATCTCTACTTTGATTCACTTTTGCTTTATTAATTTTCCAGACACATTGGCTGTTTTTCTGCCTGTTGGATTGTTTGTTATTTGGTCTCTGTATTTGTCTTACTTTCAGTATTCTTCTCATTGGAATTCTTATTCATCTCTTATCCCTAATGGAATAAAGTAAGATTGTGATAAGTGCCAATCAAAATAATATTTAAATATTCATAGCATATTATAGATCATAGAACTCGTAAGTCCACCCACTTCCTATCCCCATAACCATTTTATGGTACTAAAACTGAGACCCATACATTTGCTTGAAATAATGCAGTTACTTAGTTGTATAGCAGGGAATCCAACCTCCTAATTACTAATCAAGCTGTGCTTTTACCAGCTAATGCAAGTTCCCATTTGCTTGGTAAGCAATCAGTGAATGCATAGCAATATACTAGGCAGTTGAAAGAAAGAGAGAAGAGCATTGAAAAGATGGGGAGAAATTTGAGATATAGAAAACATAGATCTTGCTTGAAGTCTAGCTGAGGAGATAAAACATACACATATAACCTCTGGAGAAAAATTCCTGAGGAATTTGGGACAATTATATCTTGTAATATCCACAAGTTATTAAAGTTAAGCTGAGATGTGGAGTCAAGGAATAATGAGAGTGGATCAAGTTTTCCATGGAATTTTTTAAGGTAGGGCATTAGTTTAAACCTTGAAGAACAAAATGGTGAACTTATATTTGTGAAGAGAACAAGGATGCCTTCTAGTTGATGAAGGATCATAAATAATCACCCAAGTGGAAATGAACATCAGCCGCAACCTCCCACCACTCCATTTTCCCCTTCTTCAGCAGTAATTTTCCACTCTTCTACATTGTTGTTGAGCAACTATTGGTCTTCAGAGATTCACTTGTGTGTGGCTTTTTTTTATTTATTTATTTTTTGAGACAGAGTCTCGCTTTGTTGCCCAGGCTAGAGTGAGTGCTGTGGCGTCAGCCCAGCTCACCGCAACCTCAAACTCCTGGGCTCAAGCAATCCTACTGCCTCAGCCTCCCGAGTAGCTGGGACTACAGGCATGCACCACCATGCCCGGCTAATTTTTTTTGTATATATATTTTTAGTTGGTCAATTAATTTCTTTCTATTTTTAGTAGAGACGGGGGTCTCACTCTTGCTCAGGCTGGTTTCGAACTCCTGACCTTGAGCAATCTGCCCACCTCGGCCTCCAAAGTGCTAGGATTACAAACATGAGCCACTGCGCCCGGCCTTTCTGTGGCTTTTAGTAGCAACTACTTAGTCATGGAATCAATCTGTCAATAAACTCTGTAGCATCAAATAGTAGAAATAAACACAGGATTGAGAGTTAGGGGATCTAAATTCCAGGCCTTCCCTCTAGTGTATTACTGGTGTGATCTTCAACAAATTAACCTCTTAGAACCTCTGTTTCTTCATCTATTAAGTAGAGCTAATAATATCTCACAAGGGTCATTGTAATAATAAAATATTATAAATTTGTGGTTTATATATTTGTAATAGTAAAATGTATGTTTGGGGAAGTCCTTAGAAATCATATTGTAAATGCTAATTAATGCCACTAATGTTGAATGAGAACAGATTTGGATCTTGGCTATCCCTCAGACCAGTTTAAAGTACAGTTGACCCTTCAATAACATGGGGGTTAAGGAAACCAACCGCCTACAAAGTCAAAAATCCATGTATAACTTTTGACTACATCAAAACTTAACTACTAATATTCTACTGTTGACCAGAAGCCTTACTGATAACATAAGCAGTCAATTAACACATACTTTTATATGTTAATATGTATTATATATTGTATTCTGGCCAGGTGTAGTGGCTCACGACTATAAGACTATAATTCCAGCATGTTGGGAGGCTGAGGCAGGAGGATTGCTTGAGACCAGGAATTCAAAACCAGCCTGTACAACATTATGAGACCCTGTCTCTACAAAATAATTAAAATATTAGGCTGTGGTGTTACACATCTGTTGTCTTAGCTACTCTGGAGGCTGAGGCAGGAGAATTGCTTGAGCCCAGAATTTCAAGGCTGCAATGAGCTATGATCACGTCATTGCTCTCCAGCCTGTGCAACAGAACAACACCCTGACTCTAATAAATAATAATATATTTGATTATACTGTATTCTTATAATAAAGTAAGCTAGAAAAGAATATATTATGAAAATCATAAGAAAGAGAAAATATATTTACTATTCACTAAGTAGAAATGGATCATCATAAAAATCTTCATCCTCATCATCTTCACATTGAGTAGGCTGAGAAGGAGGCGAAAGAGGAGAGGATTGTCTTGCTATCTCAGAAGTGACAGAGAAGGGAAGAAAATCTACACGTAAGTGGACTCACGTGATTCAAACCCATGTTTTTTAAGGATCACCTGTACTCTTAGTCTTTTCTTAGCATGTAGTGTTTGGGGAGGCAGAGGGAAATTTTAAAAAATTATCTTCAGAAGCTTAGAGAAGTCAAACAACATCGATTTGTTAAATTGCCCACTATGGGCTCAGTTTGCCTTTGATCCTCTCTGCATGAGGTGATGCAGGGTGGCAGATTTGGTGGGGGCTGTGTGTATGTATGAGTCAATGAGTGTCATTGTGCATTGTAAATTCAAAAGGTCCCTGCCTTCTCCTCATAACTCATATATTAATGATTTCCATGAAAGGAAGAGGAGAAGAGGAAAGAAGAAGAGGAAAAGACATCACTATTTAACAGAAAAATGTTTCATCATAATACAAAGAAATTAGGATGGAAAATTAATAATAGTATTCAATATCTTCAGATATAACAATCCCATACAGAAGGCCACTGACTTATGATGGCTCGACTTGGGTACCCATACAACCATTCTGTTTTTCACTTTCAGTACAGTATTCAGTAAATTACATGAGACACTCAGCACTTCATTATAAAATAGGCTATGTGTTAGGTGATTTTGCCCAACTGCAGGATAATATAAGTGTTCTGAGCATGTTTAAGGTAGGCTAAGCTAAGCTATGATATTAAGTAGGTTAAGTATATTAAATGCATTTTCAACTTATGATATTTTCAACTTAGAATGGGTTTATCTGGTTGTGACCTCATTGTAGGTCAAGGAGCATCTGTACTAACACACTCATTTGTTTCAGCTGCTTAGCTTCTTTCCATGCTATCTGAGTTTTGACTTTCCCACATTCTTAATTAAGCTCTGTCAGTTTTAGGAAGTAGTTAATTGTTAGTTAGAAGATATCTTGGTCTCTAGAGAGGTTAATTTGTCTTTAATGCTCATCCACTGATAAATCAGCCTGAGTGACTTAATGACAATTACCACTATTTGTGACTTCCAAACTTCTAAAAACCAATTAATGGGAAAAAAAAAAACAAAACAAAACACTTAGACACTTGTCTAAAAGCATTAGCTCAGAACGTTTTCTCTCTAACCTTCTTATCTGTCTTTCTATATTTGTGTGTCCTCTCTTCCCTTTTAAATACGTATGCACCTTAATGCTTTACCTGTGCACAATTTAACTATCCAGCACCCTGAAATTCAGCAAAGATATGGGAAGTGAGCAAAAACCATGTGTGTGGGCCAGGTGCGGTGGCTCATGCTTGTAATCCTAGCACTCTGGGAGGCCAAGGTGGGCAATCACTCGAGGTCAGGAGTTCAAAACGAGCCTGAACAAGAGCAAGACCCTGTCTCTACTAAAAATAGAAAGAAATTAATTGGCCAACTAAAAATATACAGAAAAAATTAGCCGGGCATGGTGGCTCATGCCTGTAGTCCCAGCTACTTGGGAGGCTGAGGCAGAAGGATTGCTTGAGCCCAGGAGTTTGAGGTTGCTGTGAGCTAGGCTGACACCACGGCACTCTAGCCAGGGCAACAGAGTGAGACTCTGTCTCAAAAAACAAAAACCTTGTGTGTGCAACCATACAATGTCACAGAATTGTGGACA